GTGTGTGTGTGTGTGTGTGCGGGTGTGTGTGAGTGTGTGTGTGTGTGTGTGAGAGTGTGTGTGAGTGTGTGTGTGTAGAAGTGCTTTGAGCGCTCAAATAAAGGGGTGAAGCTCTACAGTTCATTAGTTACTAATCAAGCAGTCAATGATTGAAGCTTTTACTGTGCTGCATGGTTTTAATGGCTCGCCAGGTGTGTTACGCTGATGTTGTGTTTCCACAGAAAACTATAGACTCCAGAGTGCCTATGAGAAAAATCTCATCATCAAAATGGTTCTTGTAAGTGTCGTCCTTTGCTTTGGGATTGGGTGGAGCTAATTCCTCTTCCTGTTTAATCACACCTGGCCTTTCTGTCTCTTGCAGTTTCAGTTTGTAAATTCCTATCTCAGCCTTTTTTACATCGGATTCTACCTCAAAGACATGGAGCGCCTGAAAGAGGTGAGACGTTTCCGCCGCTCAGACACTCGCACTCACTCGTCGACGTCGTCATTAATCCGCACATCCGTGCGTTTGTCCGTTTGTGGAAGATGCTGCTGGTGTTGTCTCTGATCAGGAGTCTGCAGCGGCAGGTCCGGGTCAATGTGCTGCCTCACGTCTCCCTGAAGATCAAGATGCTGGTGGTCTCTGTTCCCTGGTTCTTCAGGGCTTTGCTCGGGAACAAAGTACGATTCCTGTTACGTGTAGGGAAGGTCAGAGGTCTGTTTCTGACCACCTCCGTTATGCCTTTGCATGCCAGCTCGGTGCCACTCGGTGAGCAGGTGTGCTTGGAAAGAACGTGTGCTGGAGCTCCAAACCTCCACGCTGTTAAATGGCTGCAGGGCTGTTTTCATTACAACTCTGTATTTGGGAGACTTGGGACTTTGTAGCTGTCAGCAGATACTGTCTGATTATCTAAAACCAACTTTATATTCAATGACATCAACTCTCAAAACGCGCCTCTTCTTACTTCTTCTATTGGGTCCTTTCATCTGAAGATCGGTCTTCCTGGTATTCCTTGTGATGGGAATTGTGGATTTCTTTCTTGGGCTTTTTTCCCTCTGTGAGTCATCTTGTCTCTCAGCTTCTCACCATCTGCTCCACCTTTCGGACTCTCGATGTCAGCTGACTTCCCAGTTTTCCCAGTTTACACCAGCACAGCTCAGGCTCTCCACATGTCGGTAAAGCTTTCTGATTTACTGGAAGTACCATGAAAGGCTAAAATCATTTAAAACACGTGAGACTTTTCTTGTTTCCAGTTGATGAGAGAGACGTCAGAGTGTCTGAGATATGTTAGCAATCAGAGAGCAGCGTCTCCGTCTCTCAGTCCCTGTGCTGTCCATTATTGATTATGTCCTGTATGCTCTCTGTTTCTGTGCTGTAGCATCTTCTGCGCAGCGTGTTGTGCATCAGTGTTTGACCTGAAGGAGCTGCTTTCAGATTAAAGGCAACAATGGATCGTGAGCTTTGTGGTGATGCAGTCGCTGTCTAACCTCTGCGTGTGTGTATTATATGATTGAAGACATATTAAACTCTTGGCTTTGACTGTTAAAGCTCAGTTATGGTTTGATGCAACTCAGTTTCTTTTTCTGTGCTTATTGACAAGATCAGAGAAACAAAGAAACATTTTTTGTTGTAGAAACCAGGAGATCACTGAGTTTAACCAGATTAATTAAGCAACTTTATTTTGTAAAGCTAAATAAATACTTTGTGCACAGAGACACGTTCACATCAAACCTAAATGAAGGTTTATTAAAAAATGGTAATGAATCCCAAAATGATAAGAGTATAGTTGTGTTCAGTTAATCTTAATCTCTGTACTTATTGTCACGCATAATTTATGTCTTCTTCCAGATTACTTTTTCAGAAACAAAGAACTGTGTCTGTGTTGGACTCAGCATGAGCTTTTATTTGTAGCCGTTCTGCTTCCCGTCAGTTCCTGTTCTGGACGCCTCCCGTTCGCCCACAGGTCAAAGTATTTGGACGAGGGACCGGGCCGTGGGTGCCGCAGCGTCTCCTGTTGCATGAAGCATCCATGACAGAGCCGGGAAAACATGACAACTTTGAGGTTTCTAGTCAGCTGTCCACAAATAAGCCCGTCGCACGTCTTGACTGCTGCGTCTAAAGAAACTTTAGTTTCAAGATGAACTTTTCACTCGAGCCTGTCACGGGGCGGAGGTGTAATTATTGTGCGGCGCTTTGTGTCTCGGCTTGGTGGAGCAGTTTAGTTGGTTCGTTCGTGTCTGCCGTGTGCAGCGAGGTCTGTAGGTGAGAGGCTGCTGTGCTTTTTAGAGTTCGAATGTGACACAGCGATTGCTGCCTAACACCTCAGGACCCCCGATTACAGGGTCCCTCCTACTGCTTGGAGTAGGGAACCATTCGGGCGGAGCTTGCCTTGAGCACACAGTCTGCATACATGTCTCTTTATTTTAAATGTTTTCACCTTATTTTATTAAGTCCTCTCTCGCTGCTCCTCCTGCGCTCTGTCCACTGTCATCTATCCTGTCTCGTTTCTTTTAAATGCTCCAATCAGTGCGCTGTGATCTGTGGGTGCTGCAGCTGTTTCTCTGCCTTGTGTTTGTCAGATGCTGGCCACTCTACTCATCATACGCCAGTTCCTTCAAAACGTTAAGGAGGTGCTGCAGCCTTACCTGTATGAGCGTCACAAGCTGGGAGAGCTTACGCTGCGAGCCGTGTGGGACCTGCTGCTCTCAGTGCTGCTGAAATACGCCCGGCTGGCAGCTGGAAAAGCCATGGCGTCTCCCACTGACCAGACCATGCCAGGACCTGGACTGAGGGGCACCAGGCCTGGAGTGGGGCAGCCAGAAAGAAGGTGGTGCTCTGAGCCGTTCAGTAAAGATGATGCAGTAAAGAAAGCGTGTGCTGAAAGATCCGTGACGTTCATGTGTTTAGCTGTCATTCACACCAACACTTACTGCGTTAGTCACTACAAGCAGAGCCGCTCGGGTGCAGACAGAACGACACTTTATCGTCCTCCGCTATTGTTCACGCACCGCATCCAGTTATGATTCATAGCTATCAGACACCGAGTGCACAGACCGCCAGAACAGGTTGGCACACAGTTACTCTGACGTTTATCTGTCTCTTCACCTGCTCTCAGGGAAAAGAAGTGTCTGAACGGAGGATGTGGAGTGCCTGATGAGGAGGAGGGAGCTGAGAAGGACGAGGCTGACAGCGGGAGGTTCAGCGAAGGAGAGACGGAGGAGGAAAGTTTGATCGACTGCGGCTTGAAGCTGAGGAAAGTGAGCTTCATAGAGAAGGTACAGTGCCGTGTGACCTGCGTTAGCACGTTCACGCTTTAGAGGTTGAATCATGTAACTGATCAGTGATGTCGTCGTTAAGGTGGACAGAAAGGCGGCGTGCAGTGGGCCCCCTGTGGACAGCAGCTTTCTGGAGGAGGGAAGCCCCACCATGGTGGAAAAGGGAATGGACCCGGCCTCGATGTTCGAAATGTGCGACGACGACGACGACAACGGAATTCATGATGTGAAGGACTCGAGCGGGGGCAGGGCCGAGGCCGCTGATGCTGCCGCCGGTGCCGCCTCCGCCGCCAGCCCGCTGCCTTCTGGATCTGAGAGCAGCGCGTCGCTGCGTCACAGAAGAAGAGGCCGAAGCGCCGAGAGGGTCGAGCCGAAAACGAAAAGGGAATCGTGGATGGATCCCCCCGAGGAGAGAGAGAGCACCACGCTCACTCAGGCGGAGATGGAGAGCTGCATGCAGACGTACTCAGTAAGTGCACATATGTACTCACCCTGCACGTACGGCTCAACTGACACCTTGGCTGATTGTGATTGGGTAGAGGATCAATAGGGGGTCCATGGCACTCTTTGGGACACTCCCACAGGGCTTAAATCTGGGATTCTCCACCAGTCGCATTTAGAACTGAAGAAGCTTCTCAGATGAGACGCTTTTCTTTCCAAGCTCCTTAGACTACTGACAGAAGGGAAATGCAAGTGAGGTCAGAGGTCAAATGTGACATATTTGGACCCAAACTGTAGTGTGATATTTAGTATCGTTTTAAAGATCAGAGATTTTCTTGAAAGTTTGACCTCATTTGAAGAAGTGATCAGAGGTGACTGAGTAACGTGATATTTACAATCACTATATGCCTGCATAGTTTTACATGCTCAGTGCAGCATTATTATCACTGAGGTTCAGATCAATCAAGTCAAATCTGATGTGATATTTTGAACCTTATAAAATCGGTACTTTATAAGTACCATATGCTGACTGTGTGATAATCATCCCCGCAGACCTCGGTGGATGTAAGCCAAAGTTTCCCGGGTCGTTAACAGTTTACTCTTCGGCCGCCCCTCATCTGTTGTTTTTTTTTTCGGCAAAATTATCCACACCCACCGCCGCGCTATGCATTCTGGGATATGTTGGGCCACGAAGTCTACACCGCCACGTCCTTAAAATTCAGGGAAATGAAGGACGCATTTGAGGGCCGCATTTCGAGCAGCCTTTGAATTGGGACAGCCTTTGTCGCGTCGCTGTGACGTAATCGGCCTTAAAATGCGGCCTTTAAGGCTGCAGACCCTGAATCGGGATACAGCCTCTGTGTTTCATTCAGTCTGTGTCGCGTCGTCTGTGTTCCCACCTCCATGTTTTCACGGTCAGTCTTTGCAGTTATCACCATAGTCTCTGAGTCTTCTTAGTTTGTCACAGTACTAGTTTTCCCAGTTTAGTTATAGTCTAGTTTAGTCACGCTATCCCTGCTTTGTTTGTACACTTTGTCTTCAGCCATAATAAAGGCTCGCTTTCTGTTAAGTTCACTCCCGTCTACTCACTTGTGTACGCACCTGGGTCCATCACACACACCACCACATTAGGGGTGCAACGATATTCGTATCGATATTGAACCGTTCGATACAGTGCTTTCGGTTCGGTACGCATATGTATCTGAACAATACAAATTTGTAATTTATTTTATCAACTTTCCTTCTGACGATGCTGTCTGTGTTGAGCCTCAGTGAATCTGCGTTCGACTACTCCGCCTAGGCTGCACTGTCGAGCGCAGATCCACTGAGCGTCAACACAGACAGCATCGTCAGAAGGAAGAGCGCAGGGCAAGCTAGCGAGACAGAAGTTAAGCTCTCCTTGCAACATGGCAAATTGAACCTCCCCCACCCTCATTCAGATCTGGCGTTTGGAACTATTTTGGTTTTCATGTGACGTATGACCCTGAAGGTAAGCGCGTCATGGACTAAAGTAAAACAGTATGTTGGATGGTATCGCTTTTACACTCAGACCTGAATTGTCCTTTCTAATTGACAATTTGGGTGTGGACTAGTGTGGTGTAGCGCTTATGTTAGCATCTGTTATTACGTTTTGGCTATGAGCCGTTGTTCCAGCCCCAGCACGGAGCACAGGAGCCAACAGATTCACCAGGTTGTGGCGTTCCATCTTACCCGGAAGACAAGCGAGAGGGTCCTACATCAACAACAACTGAAACAGCCCGAGCCTGACCCGCTACAATATGCTGCTGAGAATATAGCCCAGAAGAAGCGTATAGTATAGCTTTTATTTTGGAAAGAGCCATTTCTCTGTAATAAACTCTCTTTTCCAAAGATGAGTGATTCCTCAATCAGATACAGGGCTTCGCAATATCGCTAGCCCGACGTCCGGGGCTAGCGATTTTTCCAGTCGGGCTACCAAAATCTATCTCTGCCCTGCCCGTCGGGCTATTGTAGGAAAAATATATGTCAATGCTTTTGCATTCTTTCAGAAATGTAGCTGGGTAATTATGTCATTGGCATCGGTGAGCCACTGTCAATATGTGACATATTGAAAGTCGCGTTTGAATTTGCGCTTGTTTTTTTGCTTTCACTTTGCAATCGTGCGAACTGTGTATAGAGAGCGACAGCACTGATCTGTGAGTGATGATAATTTGTGCACCAATTCCTCTGACATCGTCTTATTAATCGTTAGCTTACTATGCAAACATGACAAGTGAAATCTCCCGCAGCAAGCTTAAACATGTGAGAGGTTGATCGCGCAGAGAATCGCTGAGCTTATGTGAGTGCGTGTGTAAAAGCATTTCAGTTCTGCTGAGCCAAATAAGACAGGTCAGGGTGAAGAAGTGACAGCCAAAGAAAAGCTTACCACAAAACGGAGAAGTTATGACAAATCAGACTATAAGGCAAAAAGAAAGTGCAGCTTTATGGTTTCATGGACAAAAGAATTTCTGTGGCTGCAATATGACGAGCTAAATAACCAGGGCTGCACATAAGTGGTCCGCAGGTGCGCATTCGCTGTCAAAATAAAAAACACGCACAAGGGTTAGGGTTAAATTTAAAAACTGTACTTTTGAGTTAAAATATATATTTATAATTTTAATAAATGACAAATTAAAAAGGCATGAACATTTTTTGTATCGAAAAAATATCGAACCGTGACACCAAAGTATCGAACCGAACCGTGAATTTTGTGTATCGTTGCATCCCTACACCACATGGCCCGTCTCCGCAGACCATGACAAGTTCATTCTAAACATCTGGTGTTTACAGGCAGAACGACTCGTTCTCTGTTATTCTCTTTAAAAACTGATCACTCTTTGAATCCTAGAACTACAGCATGAATCCTACAGACCTTATAAATGCTTGTATGACTGCCATATCTTATTATATCTCATCTACAAATGAGTTTAGTCCACAGAAAATGCAGCGTCGTCCGCGGCAGCCATGTAGTCACGTATTGCACAGACTGCATTTGGCTTATTGCTCCACTTTGTCCTTCTTAGGACACTTTCCAAGACTACCAGGAGATGTTTGTCCAGTTTGGCTACGTGGTGCTCTTCTCCTCTGCCTTTCCTCTGGCTGCCATGTGCGCTCTCATCAACAACATCATTGAGATCCGCAGTGATGCCTTTAAGCTCTGCACCGGCCTGCAGAGGCCCTTTGGAGTCCGTGTGGAGAGCATCGGCCAGTGGCAGGTAAGAAATGCACTGTGTGAACATGGGGAGCTGACTAACACACAAACGGCATTAATGTTAACAATCTAATCAAGTTCATCAGTAATCAGAGTCTGGCTGAACTTGATTTAAGAGCAAAGCACAAAGTCAGAAAAAAATGGAAAGCTTTTATTTTCCCGTTCACAGACTGCGATGGAAGCCATGGGCCTGATTGCCATCATAGTGAACTGCTACCTGATTGGTCAGTGTGGTCAGCTACAGCGTCTCTTTCCATGGCTCAGCCCTGAGATGGCCATCATCTCCATCGTCATCCTCGAGGTACCGCAGCTGCTTCCTGCTCAGTCTGAAACACAGCGGCGCTCTTTCAGTCTTTTCCCGTCACACAGTTGTCCTACCTGTAAAGACTGGGACGGACATTTAACAGAACATTTACTCAAACCACTTCATCAGTCGGTAAACTGTTTAACACAGATTTCACTTTCATGACACGTAATGAAGTAGAAGCCCAGGAAATAGTTTACTAATAGGAAGATGAGATTGGCGGCCAGTCATGACATCAAACCAGTTTTAACTCACCAAACGCGTGAACAAAGGAACTGAAACCGTCTGTGCACAACGCTGCTGCTACAGCTTGTCACATATTTAGAAACAGGCTGTGCTTCACTGTGCCGGCCGTCTGCATCCAGAGGGGTCAACAGCCTGCAGCTCTGTGCTGGCCTGATAAAGAAGTTTGAGCCCAAATGTTGCAAGAATGACCTCAAGTGACAAGTTGCTTAAAAAGGGCGTTTGAGGCACCGTGTCCTATTTACTGTATGTGAATTACTTTATAATTGTTTGACTTCACCTTCCTTGTTTTCCACCTCTCTGTCTGTTTGCAGCACTTTGCCATCCTGTTGAAATACATCATCCATGTGGCTATTCCCGACATTCCTACGTGGGTCAAAGAGGAGATGGCTAAGCTGGATTACCAGCGCAGGGAGGCCTTTAAGGTGACTTCAGGGAGTTCGAAGAAGCCCTTTAAAGTTTCCCTCATTAACCTTATGATGCTACAGCACTGCAGTTGTTTCTTTTTGGAAATAAATGACTAAAGTTGCTTTGATATTGTAGCAAAATGACTGTTACTGTAAAGGTTGTCAGCTGTGCTGCACAACGCAGGAAAAGAGAGTAGCTTGTAGCTGCCCCGGGAGCACTAATGCAAGATTCTGACTGCAGTAAGGGCTTTTAGACAAGTCGCGCTGCGGTAGTGTAGTAGTTGACTACTGCTGATTCTTTATGAATGCATTGTGAGAACGTTTCCCTTCCTCTGCAGAAGCACGAGCGGCAGGCGCAGCAGCATTACCAGCAGCTGCAGAGGAGGAAGAGGGAGGAGGAGGAGAGGCAAAGGCAGGCAGAGCACATGGCTCGCAGGGAGAGGGAGCGGGACGACGGCAAAGGCGACGTTTCGGGGGATCACCACCACGACAAAGGTCACGGCAGCAAATCACGTTCTGGGGGTGGAGGCGGAGGAGGGAGCGGCGGGTCGGACAAGCCCAAGAGGCCCAGCTCCCTGTTGGCCAATAATAATGTGATGAAGCTGAAGCAGATCATCCCGCTGCAGAGCAAGTTCTCCTCGGGTGGCGCCCGCTCCCCACAGTCACCCACGGGCAGCGAGCCAAAACTGCCCGGCTTCTTGAGCTTCAAATTCCTCAAGTCGCCTGAGAATAAGAGGGAAGGTGCTGCGGCTTCTGCGGCCGCCGGCACCACATCTGCCAGCGCCACGGCGACAGCGGCGCCGTCATCATCGTCATTATCAGGTAGCAGCTCTCAGGAGCGTTCTCAGTCACCCAATAAAGCCTTCAACCCCGGGAAATTGTTTAACTTTGGGAAATCCGAGGGAGGGACTTCCACGAACGGAGCTCCGCTGCCCAGGTCAGGAGAGGGGTCATCATCGCTGACGACGGAAAGACAGCCTTCCCGGTCTGACTTGAATGGCGTTCCGGACGAGATCCCCTCACCCGGAGGGGAAGGCGCAGAGAACGGACATTCGTCAGACTTGGACGCGGCTGGTTTTAAAATGTAGAAAACGACGACAAAAAAAGCGCAACTTGTCTTTGGTTCCATCTCACCTGAACAGGTGACGTGTTTACTGTGAGGAAGGCCTGACCTGCCCTCTGTGCTGTCACAGGCCGGTGCAGGAGAGCAGAAGCTGATGAGGCGAGACTTGTTCTGGTTTGCTTTTTCTGCTGCGAGACAAAAAAATAAAATAGAGAAAGAAACAAAAAAAACAGGCTTTGTAAGAAAGACGAAAGCCCTTCTATCATGACCGAACACACACACACACACACACACACACACACACACACACACACACACACACACACACACACACACAAATATTCAAATTCTTCCTTGTCTGCAATACATAAAGAAATGCATGAGCTGCGTTTCTAATATTTTTACGCCTTTAAAGCAGAGCTTTGTTTCCTGATTTCTTCTTGTCAGAAATTGTAAACATCTCGGTGGCTTCACACGCAGTCTGTCGTGGAGGGGAGGAGTTTAAGGGAAAAAAAGCTTACATGGCGGTACGAACGGATTAGAGATTGTACATCAGATAATTCCTGAGTGTTTTTTAGCTGTCACCACACAAGCGATCGTTAGAAATCGGTCTCATTTTTAAACTGCGACGAGTTGTTGGGCCCTTCGCTTTCGTGCTGAAGCTGAAGAGTGGAAAAGCAATATGAGTCAGTGTTTTTGTTTTTTTATTAAGTGTCAATCATCGCATAAGCCCCTCCTTAACAGTCGCCCCTGATGTATCACCAGCTTTATTTTCAAAGCAGAGGTGAGGTCTGAGCTTTGCAGAACCCGGTTTGCTCCAATAGAAAGCGGCGAGCTTAGTAAGTCGTAAAAATCACAGTATTTTGGAAGAGCGAGCGGTTTTCGAGGAAAAGGAGCAGAGATGCCCGTTGCATGCTGTTCTCCATCCGAGTCCGTAGAGCGCCTTGTAAACACAGATGGTGCCTCACGCCACAAACTCCAGCTAGACTTGGCAAACGAGCACAGAGTTAAAGAAGTAACATTTGCACTAAAGCCTGACGCCCTGCATAGAAACCACCTCGGCACAGAGGGCCCACACCAGCCTGCCTCATCATTATGCAAAAAATGCATTTCTGTTCATTTCCCCCTTTCACATGGTGCATGCAGTCGGCAGCAACGAGCTTTCAAAATATTCACGTTTTCTTTTCTTCTTGAACAGCTGTTTTTATTGGCAGAAGATGGAAATTCCCTTTTTTTTAACCAGTGCAGAACTTTTCAGATTATGCTGTTAACCCAAGATGTACAGTACTCTATAAAGGTTTTAGGCACTAAAATATGTGAGAATACTTTGAAAGATGTCAGTTTACCTGACAGGAGTTCGGTAAATAGAAAAACTCTACATTAGTGGGAGCTTCATTTGACTACACAGTCACTCAGTCATTATGAGATCTTACCCAGAATCCTTCTCTGGAGTCGGGCTGTGTCTCTCTTCATGCATTTACTGGCTCACTTGATGACGTCACCACAGAGCTTCTGCAGGGACCAATGCATGCGTTGCAGGACTCCCTTTTCTCACTGAAGATACATTTTAGGTCATCGTCATTTTTCAAAAAGCAGGATGGCATCATGTGATTTACAAAAACATACAAACATCTCAGAGTGCCTAAAACTTTTTTCACAGTACTGTACTTTGCATATTGTTTGCATGATCCATGTATTTTCAATGAGCCCAGCATCTACCCTTAGCTGGTATTTCACTTCTGCGGGGTCTCCAGAAGGTGGCGCTGGTTATTTAGTCACCACAGGCAGCAAAATTAAAGCGGTCTGACAAGTTTATGATGATATGAGACACTGAGAGAGGATTCAGAAGCCGCCGCACTGCCGAGATACGGAAACATTAACTATGCATTTCCACACGTTCACCTCCGGCGAGGATTTGGGCAATAACACAGCGTTGAAGTTGACGTGTAGTACTAAAGCTCGACACTAACCCAACCTCAAACCCCAACTCCAGCGCATCATCCTCATCCACTCTATGCATTTTCTTTCCCTTTATGTTTTAGTGTCAGCTCTCTCAGATCGCCTGTTTCCTATTTAATGTTAAGAACCTGCCCTGACCTGCATCGGCTTAACAGGTTTTTGTATTCTGTTACAGCTTTAATGTGTTAGTTTTAGAAGTCTGGTCCATTTTTCGCTCACACGCCTGCAGAAGAGACGAAAAATGTTCTTTCCGGGAGGCAAAAAGTTCTTACTGACATTAAATGCAATACCGAAATAGTCTGTGCAGCCATGTTATCATTTTTAGGAATATTTGGAAGGTACTGTTCATTATAAATGTAAATGGAGAAGGCCGAGGCTAAGAGAAACGTGACATCATCAGGGTGTGATCTTAAGAGCAGCAGAGCGAGACGGTGACGACGTAGCTGAGCACAGTCTCATTAAAAACCCTTGATATTCTTGCAGCATCAGGATTTCAGGGATAAGTGGCTTCATGGTGCGTAAGAGTCCATCGTTTGAAAAAGTCCCATAGAGAAGCAGAACTGGTGCGCTGAATAGATCCGCCGATGCCGAGCGAGGTCACTTCCATGTGTGCATTCCCACCTTATTCAGGTAAAGCTGAAGAGCATCACAACAGACATCGGCTTGTTACTTTTTTCGTTTTTGCAGTGAAACATGTTCTGCGACGGAGATCTGTAACGTTTGGAGGAACAGCAGCGTCACGGCGCAGGCATCGCCTGCATCAGGACACAAGCTCGGACTCGTTATCAGAACAGCTTCTTTGAAAAGTTCGGACATCGTCTGTCTCATTCGGAATAAGCAGGAAAGGACTGAATGGACGTATTAATGTTTGTGTTTCAGAGTGGATGTGAACAGGCGAGACTCACCGCAGCTACATTACAGCCCGACCCGAACCTCAAAGACGAGACATTTTCATGGAAGCCTCACTTACACAACATCATACGCTCTTCCAATGTACCACTGTACAAAAAAGATCTTTTAAAGAAAAATACTGGGGAATGGGATTATTTATTTCTTTTAATTTATTTTGTCATATTTTTGTAAGACCTGACAAATAGTTAATAAAACTATTTCAAATGCATCCCATGTGTTGTGAACCGCTTCTTTACATTTTTGAAGTACCACATAAACCAAAAGTGTTTTAATCCAGTTTTATTTCAGCAAAGCTAAAAAGAACATCTGATCTAACACATGTGGGGCAAGGCTTCGGGTGGTGTAGAACAGTCTGAGCAGAAGCATAATGAGGTTTTTATACTTGAAATAACAAGACGGGTATTTACAGTGTAGATATGAAGATGACTGACCGCACCGTCGACCCACGAAACAGGAAAGAAAGGAGGTTACGTCGTGACTCAGCCGGGGAGTGATAAGAACGATTTTTTTAAAGGACAGAAAAAGAAAAGCTTTTTTTTGGGTGCATGGACACCAATACAAACTGAATCTCATACAAGGAACAAGGCAGGATGGCAGCTGCACTTTGCTGTGCATGCTTATTGTGCATTCTATGGCTGAAAGTATAATACTCTAAACGCTCACAGCAGCCAGCTCTCCATCGAGAAGGGAGAAAAATAAAATAAAAACCATCCAGAGCTGTCACAAAGATGAGACGAGCAGTAACGCTGACCCGGGCCCTGAGCTGGATCCGAGTCTTAAGGCCTCTCGGCTAATACCTTCCACACAAAAATCCCCCCCCAAACACTTTATTTCTGGTCCAGGATTATAACATCCAGCCACTGAAACAGTAACATGCAAGGCAAGATAACATCCACTGGACACTGGGGCTCTTCTCTACTTTATTCTGTAGTCTTTTACAAAAAGGCAGACACACAGATACTAAATCGGATAAGCTACTGTAACTATTTACACACGTTATGCATTCTTTTCCCTTTCCCACACGCTACTATAGACATTTCTCTTTAGTGTCTGTGCTGTTGCCAAAGTTGCGCGACTAAAAATGAAATCTCACATTTCTGTATTTTCCTATTAAGACGTAACAGCTCTTTCTTTTTCTTCACATCTTTCGGTGAAAGATCTGCTAAAACTTAAAGAGAGAGAGAATCCCCTTCTTACTCGCCTCGATCAGCCAGAGGGAGGTGCTAGACGTGACGCTGCTTCTCAGCCACGCCGACACAACATTAATCCTACAAGCACGAGTCCCAGGATAGAACACAGATATTAATATATTCACCATAAAACAAACAAAAGAAGCCACACGTTTAAAAAGGTGGGGGTCCGGAAGAGTCGCTTCTACTTTGTGCTGTTCTTCACAGTGCATTCTTGGTTCTGTCGATTCAAACAGTGTGGAAAAGAAGTCGCAATGCCCCCGTGTGGTTGCAGAGTGGGCAGTGAAACTGAGATGGTGGGCACTGTGGCTGGCAGGAAGCTCATTGCCATTTACAAACAACAACAAAAACATCATAAAATAAAATTAAAACAGTAACAAAATACTCACAAATCAGAACAGACTGTCCGGACGACAGAGAGGCTACACGAGTCTTGTACCAGTTACATTTTTAAGAGTAGTGTCTGACATTTTCTGTCCAGTCCGTCTCATCTTAATCCTACCATCCACTCGCAGTCCGCACTCACAGCTCAGCATGCACACAAACATATACATGTGTACTGGCCCACATGGGAAGAGCCAACACAATCAAAACACCAGTAATGATTTCGCCTCCACGACTTGAGATCATTTCTACCAGCGTTATTTTCATACACTGTAAATGGCGGCTTTGTGAGTGGGAATTTCCCGCAATTCTCTCTGGAGTGACTTAACTTCATGCCAGGAAAGACATCCTGCTCTAGTCCAGGAAAAACCAGGAAGTCTGCATGCAGGAGGGATTATCCTATGGTTTTGCTTATATTGGCTATACCCTATTGATGCAAACACACATGTATACCCACCCACACACACACACACACACACACACTCGGACGCGCACTTATGAGTCCTCGTTCATCTCTTGGCTATCTGTCCTGGCGATCTTCCTCGGGGGCGCCGGGCTGTCACCCTCAGCTTGTTCCTGTTCCCTTTTCTTTGCTGCATTCTGTTTGACACAGGATTACACAGGAATCAGCAAAATCACAGCCTCGCTCTCTTTCAACACGTCAGTGACAGAAGCACAGATGAACAGTTGCTTCATAGCACGTGATTATTTGAGACATAATAAAGACTCCTTACAAAGACTTTTGAATTTCAGGAGTGGGACCGCAGCTCATACTCGGCCCTGCCAATTCCATCAATATATTTCCCTTCCTACATTATACACAGCATTTATTGAGGTTCTTGCATTAGTACCTGTTGCCACTCTTTACTGAGGCCTTCCCCAAACTGCAGTTTAAAATCTAAATCTTTATTTCATCTGCCATTCTCTTTCAAGAAATACTGTCAACTCTTAGCCCTAACCCTAGTTGAGGATGTGGTCTCTGCCAAATGAGAGAAATGAAAGAACTGCACACGCTCACCTTTTTGTCCCACTGCTGGTGGAGGTAACGCAGGAGAATGTTGGTTTTTTCTGTAACAATGACTGTAAACAAACACAGGCAAGATGTTTTACATACAAAACACATTACACAGGGTGCTAGTTTAGCCACAGTTAGTAAGCATTTGAAAACATCACCACAGCAGTTTTACAGTTTCAACTGTACTTACTCTGTTCAGAGGGGTATTCGCGTGTTGGTAGGTACACGGAGGGCCTGCGGTTCTATACGAGAGATCAGAAAGAGGCTGTGAATTAGAGCTGTGCCTTCTAGACATGAACAAACCTTTAAAAAACTGCATCAAGTGATTTTAAAGGCTACTTACAGATGCTTTACAAACTGAATCTGCATGAAACCTGCTGAAGTTGCTCTTGTTGTAGACAGGAAGTCCTTTCAAGAAATCAGCCTGTGGAAAGAAGGTGAGGTGTCGTTAGACTCTGCAGCTCTCATTTCATTTGTCTTTCATCTTCAACTTCATATGACTCTAAAGATCGCAAGTCTGAAATCATCTGACTTTCAGCAGTCAGACTGCTGTAGTTTACTCGTGTCGGCTGACAGCAACAGTGTAAGTCATCACCACCGACATGAGTGTAGGTGTGCTCCTCTTAATGCAGATGGTGCTGAGCAGGTGACAGGTCCCAGCAGATGACTGGATACAGCATTCAGGGCGTTACCTCATCTTTCACGACAACAAACCTGCCGCCCTTCGACGTCGCCATTAACCTTCAAAGTGGATGCAATATCGCACAGTGTCCATCAAGAGGTTTCAAATGGGCAGGATAGAGGTGAGCAGCTCAGAGCACAAATCGATGCCGGCTTGGCCTTGAATACCAACAGGAGCAGGTGTGGCTAGCAGCTAGCCGGTAGAATCAGTTAGCTGGCTTACAATTACTGTATGCCTTATAACACCAGCTATACAGCTTAAACCACAGTAATAAACATGGGGTATGCGAACTACCTTCTCCATGATGGTGGCAGAAACGTCCAACTGCCAAACGCCGACTTGTGGACTTGGTGTGTGTTGTTCTGGTCGTGATGGCCGCGCTAGCTTACAGGCTAGGAAACCAAGACCGCTGTCCTACGTCCTTTTCGAAAGCAAAAATCACCGTCCTCAAACACAAGTTGCTGTTTCCATTTTACTTCCCAGTGACTGTGGAAAAAAATGACACTACGCGCATAAAAAAGCCAAGACACCAAACCGCTCAGTACACGAGTTCGCAAAGCTACTTACACAGGACTTCTTCAGCTAGCATGATGGCACCGACGCTTTTCTAGGCCACGCCCCAAGTAGCGCTTATTGGCTTATTCTTCCCCCCACCTGGTAGTAGCTTGACCGGACAACCAATTGTTAAAAACAACACAATTTAGCCCCTCCCTAAACCATTGACCAGGCAATCTGCTCTCACTCATTGAGTTTCATTATGAAAACCATCAGCCGCTATTGATCCGAGCTAGAATCCAAGATTGATGTCATCATGTGGGCGCACGTATCTCCTGCACGCGCCAATGTTTATTAGTGCCTGCAGTAAAGGCTTCGGGAAACTGAAGGACTATTTAATTCTTTTGACTTTTGTTGTAAGTTTACACCAAGTTGAAAACTTCAGATTGAAAGGTGAGAAATTGAAAACTAGGGATAAAAAAGGGTTTTCATAACACAAAGTCATTCAGGTGTTTTTGGTATTTTAAATCCTTTCAGACTTGAGTGTAGCGGAAAATTGTTCTTTGTATCATAAGAAATATCTAATTTATGATGGATGCACAGCAATCACTGAAATCAAAGATCCACAATATCTTTATTCTTGTCATACAAAATCACACAACAGTCAAGCAAATGCAATAAACAGATAATAAATATACAGGACTGAGCAACATTAACATTAAGAATATCATGAATTATTTTAAAGACTGCATGTCAGTATACTGTGTCTACACCCAGACTCTTCTAATGAGGTGTTGTTAGGATCAGCCAGAATAAACTGGGCCTTCTAGCCTTATACAGGTGACGAAGGCCATTTTGCTGCACACTCTGACTATACTCGCAGTCTCTTAGTTTGCTTCGGTCTCTCTCCTCCAAGTCTCTGTTAGTACATGACTTAATAATTGATCAACAAATCGATTTACTCTGCCTTACAGAAACCTGGTTGCAGCAGGATGATTATGTTAGTTTAAATGAATCAACACCCCCGAGTCATTCTAACTAAAAGAAATCTCGAAGCACAGGTCGAGGGGGCGGTGTGGCAGCAATTTTTCACACCAGCCTATTAATTAATGAAAGACCAAGACAGACTTTTAATTCATTTGAAAGCCTGATGCTTAGCCTCGTCCACCCCAGCTGTGAAACTCAGAAACCAGTCTTACTTGTTATCATCTATCGTCCACCTGGGCCTTACATAGAGTTTGTCTGATTTCTCAGACTTTATATCTAATTTAGTTCTGAGCTCAGATAAAATAATTATTGTGGGTGATTTTAACATCCATGTAGATGCTAAAAATGACAGCCTCAACATGGCATTTAATCTGTTATTAGACTCAATTGGTTTCTCTCAAATTGTAAAAGAACCCACCCGCCACTTTAATCACACTCTAGATCTTGTTTTAACA